AATAGTGTGTAATCGGTTTCGGACACTGTAGCTATTACAAGTTCGTTTGAAAAATATTTGAATTTCATATAGATTTTCGTTAAACAATTATTATTATTTTATTTACCTATCCACATAAAAGAAACAAATCATAATTGTTGACAAGTTAGTGTCTTAATGTTAGAGCTGATTTTTGTGCTGTATATGGTACACATCTTTTGATGTAAGATACCAATATCAATATCCACTGATGATGACATTAAATTGTATGTCAAAACGTTTGGGAATTAAAGATTAATTTATATAAATCTTTGTTTTTTTATGTAACATCGTAAAAGAACTTACTCATTTATAATATATGTATATATATATATATATATATATATATATATATATATATAATTATATATACATATATTTCAAAGTAACTAGCAGCCCATTCGTCGAAATAAAAATGTAATAAAGTTTTTAAGAACTTTAATTTATAACTTTAATAAATTAACATTAATTAATTAACTTTAATTTAGATTTAATACATAAAAATTCTTAAATACTTTGTTACATTTTTATTTCGACGAATGGGCTGCTAGTTACTTTGAAATATGTTACAACGCCGAAAAAACTATCAAGATGAATAAATAAATAAATAAACAAATATATATATATATATATATATATACATATATACATATATATATATATATATATATATATATATATATATATCTGTATTAGGGTGGTCCTTAATATGGACATTTTCTAATTTCCTCCCAAGGGCTCAAATGGTTCCAAATTGATAAACAATTCTCTGAAAGTTTTAGCTCTTAATATTGTCTTTTAGATAGAGCGCAATTCAATCAAAGATTTGTATGGAAATAGCATGAAAAAAATTTCAAAAATTTTGCAGAGCGTCGAAATTTCAATAAAAAATGACACGAATTTTCACTTTTAATTCCTTTGTCGCTATGTTATACATAAAAAAATTTTTTTTAATTTTTAAATTTTTTTTCATGCTATTTCCATACGAAGTTTGATTGAATTGCGCACTATCTAAAAGTTAATATTAAGAGCTAAAACTTTCAGAGAATTGTTTTTTATCAATTTGGAACCATTTGAGTCTTTGGGAGGAAAGAAATTCGAAAATGTTCATGCTAAGGGCCACCTTAATATATATATATATATATATATATATATATATATATATATATAATACTAAATACTAATAATACTTCATGCTTGTTATATATTAGTATTACGATTTAATTTTACTGCAATCATACCTTTTCCCTGTAATATTCCTGACATCTAGGAGTAGAGCATATATATATATTGTTTTTGTAATGAAACCTCTGCTAAGTTTGTTAAAATTTGTAGTGCATGGATACAGTCGTAGTGCTCGAGTTGTGATTTATTATTCGTAATTATCTTGAGACAGAGCTATTGCCTATATATTTAGCGTGTGATAATCATCTTCATTATAATTCTTAGCAATTATTTGCTCATCCCATCCATTTCTCTGCATCACTTACCATACTTCATTATTTCACTTGATTTAAGCGATTAGTACTGTTTTAGCACAGTTCAGTTGCTAAATGAAATAAAACATTGTTATTTTTTACACGCTTATTGTGGTGGTTGTTTTTAATGTTATAATAAGGAATGGTTTTAACTTATTTTAAGCATGATGAAAAATTGCATCGAAAATTAATTTTCAATAGTTATGTTGCGAGGTCGATTATCAGTGTATGGAATACGTCATTGTTAGTAAATATTTGCTATGTCAAAATGTTATCAGAACGAGCTGTGATAAAAATTGTAATGTGTGCCTTTGATTAAAATAACGGTTTTATGAGCATTATTGATATTACATATAGATATCACTTAGCACTTATGCAATCGATCAATTTTAGGCGCGGATTAAGATTATCTACACATGACAGTTTTTTGCTTGATTTTATTCACACTATCTTTGTGACTGATGAAATAAATTTAACTTTTTTATCAGATTATATATATTTGTCTACGTTTTTTGTCTAGTAAACTTGTTTTACCGAATTATTATTGATTAACATATTTTAGCTATTTAGTTTTTTTTATTGTATAAACTGGAATTTTGAAATTGATTTAGGCTGAGATCATATGTCGCGTATTTTCTGCATCTCGAATATGCATTTAAATCAAAATTCTAAATAAATTAGCATGCTTATTATTTGATAAATTATAAATTACGTTCAATGCAATTTTAATAAGTTGTTAATTGCATATGCAAATTTTACTCAGCTTGATACGGAAAACAAATTTATTTATTTAAAGAAATACTAACTTTATTATTTTATTTATATTAGCAAAATAAAATACTTTCTATGCGATCTCAGCATTAGTTTAGTAGCCGTAGATCTAATATTATGATTTGGTACAGACAGATACATAAGGCATTCATTATGTTTTTACAATCGTTTAGTTTCGCTGTATAAGCATTTGTTAAATTGATAAAATTGGTTTGTAATTTAGATATATGACCGGTTTTGGGATAATAGATTTCTTTTGACGTAGGCCGATTTAAAATTAATTGCAATAAGGTATAACTGGTACATAGTGTTAAAATGATCTTCTCGTTGGCGTCGCACATTACTTATCCCGAGTAAGGATTTATGGAACTTGTTGAAAATTTTTCTTTGACGTTGTTCTTTCGCAGGAGGAGACGCCGCAGGGATTCTTCGACGATCACGGCTTGGGCTAGTAACAAAATACCACCACAATCTTCGATAAACAACAAAATTTAATTTAGTTATGGACTTCTTCATACCCTTAGATTATTTGTCGATTTCTGTTTTAATCCCCCTGTCATGTCGCTTGTGGAAATATTTAACATCTTAGTTGATAGAGTATAATAACTATATTGAATTAATATTGTGATGTACAATTGCACTGCAAATTCCATGTATTAACTGTAACAGTATTCACAATTTTAATTTATCATAAGTGAATTTTTAGATAAACATTTGATAACTATGTATATTTTTGGTATAAAAATAATTATAATAAAGTTTATTGGTTATAATATAATGTGATTTGCGATACATAATAAATCCCGCCCTTCCTTCAATTCAATTTTAACAATCTTGTAAACTAACTTTGTGTCAGATATAAACATGTCGTTTACTGACAACAGAAATTGAAATTCGTGAATATATAATTCCAAATTGATGTTGACAGAGTCTAAAAATAATATCAATAAAAAACATAAATTTACTTAACTTATTCTAAATTCCATACGTTTTGGCTATAGTTCTACTCTTTATTCAGTAGAAAATTTGCTGATTCTAATATTAAAAACAGAAAAAACAATCCGTGGTATGAGGATATAGTAATGTCTACATGATGTAATATAAATTTCAAAACTGTTGTATTCATAACAATTTTTTACAATTTTACTAACATAACAATTTACAAAGTTACAAGAGATTAAGTGTGCGACCTGTTAAGGAGATATGTTCGTATTCCACCGAATAAAGGTTATGACTATTGTAACCTAATGCATGAATTTAAAATAAATTTTGAGAGAAAATGTTTTTTGTTGATATTATGCCGGATTTTTAGACGCTGTCATATATATATATATATATATATATATATATATATATATATATATATATATATATTTGAGTGGTAATCACTTGCAATAAATCCTTCATGAGATAATAGAAGTAGAAACTAAAACTTCAATTTTGTAAAATATTACAAAATGCTTTTCTCGTTTAATTTGATTTTGAAGTTATACTATTCTGTTACATTTTTTTCTTTTCATAATTTTTCGTTGTTGTTGAAACATTTGTTTTTTCTATTTCAAATAGATGTTTCTATTAATTCTTGATATCATAATTAGCAAGGACAATCAAACACCTGTACTATATTCTAGATTACTTTAGTTTATGTGTACTAAATACTAACCCTGTTATTAGTCCGGTTGGGTGTAGAAATGTAAAACACAAAAATATTCTTTACGACAGAATAATGAACTAACAACTTTCACACGCGTGGGATTTTTTATCACACTGATATTTTGAAGTCTATTGTTTGGACATTAATGGACGTTAGACCCAAATAGTACATGGTTATATTTGCTGAATTATAGAGCTACTGTAGAGGCACAGAGAGGTGTATTAAACTGTATATGGATTGATATATAATGTACATATGAGGTATAACATTGTATGTATATATTGTTTTATATATGCGCATTTACATATTTAACGATACGTGTCTGTACTAACTGGTAAAGTATATATTATATATACATGTATATATATATATATATATATATATATATATATGTATGTATGTATGTATGTATGTATGTATGTATGTATGTATCTGCTTTGTTTACCTTCTAATCAAGATCATGTTCTTGACAGATGTCCTGAAGATGGAACGTACATAGTTGAGAAAGTCGGCTATAAACAATAATTTTATAATAACTTTTTGGCTTTTTATTACAATATTGGATTCCTTGTTCGAAGCTCAATACAACATACATTTTCAAGACTCACATATATGCGAATTTCACGTATTAATTAAATGTCGTTTAGTATGCCCGTTTATATAAAAACTATAAAATTACTTACAATTATAAGACTCTTCTTTATTGTATCACATCTCGTTATATGGTGACGATTGAGTACATTGTTTCAACTACTAGAAACTACATATGACATTTTAGTTTTCTATATCTACTAAATACAAGTAATATTATTGGTTATCAAATCAAATATCTTTCTAATACTAAAGTTTTCAGTATAATTATAAATTAAATTAAAGGTTGTATATAGAGAGTATTGATTTTTTTTTTTTTTCTTAACTTAAATGATTCACTTGAAAAGATTCTTTGGTATAATTTTAACTCAAAAACCAAATAACATGCAGTCTAATAATAATTCAATTTATTATTCATCAATTTTACTGTGAAAAGTTGTACTACTACTCTCGTCGACAAATAATGTATTAATTACCAATCTGTTTGACTATGGAGCATTATACTAATATTTATTTTATAATCACACAATGTATAAAAATGGTCCCTGCAGACATTAAGTCCATTCTTAACTTTATTATTTACAAAATTTGTAGCATGATATTTAAATCTATATTAAATATAATCGCAATATAACGATGAGCATTGGTATAGTACTTCATAATTGAACAAATGTCCAATTTGTGAATGTTATGAGCGATGTGATTTTTGTTTTTCATGAGCAAATGTTAAATTAGAAATATAAGAGCACTTTAGTTTGTACTATGACACCACAGTGTTCATTGGATACATTTGTTCCGCCTGAGGTTCTGGTTCGGGTTCAGTCCTGTTTTTACCGAGGCATGTTGTGAAGCAAGTGTCTCCGACACCGAAGCGTTCTCCATCGTTAAGGGATTGTGGCATTGGTTGCCCTGTCGTTTCTGGTAATATTAAACATAACAATCCAGAAACCAATGAAATGACACCAAATATTACAGCGGGTATGGTCGGATCGAAAGAATCCAATAGTGTGATCAATGGCGTAAGGGCACCAGATAAACGAGCGCACATGGAACCTAAGCCGAGCGCTGAATTTCGTACAACCGTGGGAAAAAGTTCTGCAGAGTAGATGTATATAATTGCAAAGGATCCTGCTATAAACAGTTTTCCAAGCATAACGATAGAGGTCGCGGCCGTTGAGCCTTGTTCAATGTATGCTGCCACTATACAACAGATACCACCAGCTATCATGAATCCACTGATAAGCGAACGTCTTCCTAGACGATCCATGAGAAATACTGTGGCAATATAATTAGGAAATTCAACCAGGCCCATTATGAACAAAATGAGGAAAGGATTGCCATATAATTTACCAGCGCTAAGGGATAATCCGTAATATACTAACGAATTGCGAACCAGCACAAACATACGTTTAGAGTTTTTTTGCGCAAATTTGGAGTTTTGAATAAGTCACTGACTCCGGCTGATGGTCCATCGTCATGACTTACAACTTTTCCTTTAGAAACATAATAGGAGACGTCAAGTGAAAGGCCGCGTTTATTCATTTCTAATGCTTTTGTACGATTAACACTGCTTCGCGAGCACGACCCTGCATCCAAAGCCATCGTGGAGATTCGTCCATAAGCCACCAATGAACGATAAGAAGAACTCCATGTAGTCCGTATACAACTTGCAAGATTTGACGGTCATGTATTAAGCTCCCCAAGCAGCCACCAACATTACTCCGCCAGCGAAAGCAGCTTGAAATGCAATACCACACACTGTACGTTTACTAGCACCGACCAATTCCATGGTCAACACGAATCCGGTGATATAACTTCCAGCAGAACCAAACACACCGTAAAGGAAACGCACTACTAAGAACGATATATATTCGGCACAAACGCTACACAACCACACCTAATACAATTTGTAGCAATGCAGACCAGCAAAAC